CCCCCCAACACACACACACACACACACACACACACATACACACACTGTGGACAGCCTCCCCCCCACCCCAGCACAGGAACCTGGGCTTCCCTATACAATGTGTGCAGCTAGGAGGGGGGCATTATGAAATCATATTTCATATGATATCGCTGATCATATTAATACATTTCAGGATGACTCAGAGGCAGAGTAAGAGTTAGCTGACATTCCACTCTATCAGCTACCTACAATTATGCAACGTATTTTGTTTTCAGCCAGTATGAAGTAGCTCTTTATACTCTCTTCCCCATATTGTTTTGCAGTGCAGGAAATGAGTGGGAAGAAGTTTAAGATGCTGGAGGCAAAGTTTTTCTGCCAGGTCCAAGAGACTGCAGCAGTGATTTTTCTTTGAAGTCTTATGTTGCAGTTATGCAATAGGCGAAGAAAGTTTTTGTCAGACCCACCACAGAATCTATAAGTACTTAAACAGCAGAACTGTCCTGGGCTGTGGACAAGCCAGTAAAATTAGTTTGTAGTTACTCAGTTGTGATTTGAATTCTGCAACCAATCATTGTGATTTCATAGTGCCCTGCATTTAATTCCACATATATATTAGAATTGTATCTGCATAAAGTACAAATATACATGGAAGGCACCATATCTGCAGAGACAATAGAGTGCACTGTCCTTATCCTACTTCTAAATATGTGTTTCATAGTTAGCACAAAGTGTCAGTGTGTTGACAGCAAGATAGTCCAAATCTAATCTGGATATTTGCAATTCTGAAACAGCAGCAAGAACCATATTTTCACATGACCTGGCACACAGCAGAGGCAAGATGGTCAGCTACTGATCAGGGAAAAGGATGCCAACCACAGCTGCTAAAAGCTTAATATTGAAAAACAAAACCAGAAACAAAGTTAAGAGGAAAGGAGGAGCCATTTGCTTTACATTTTCCCATCTGATTCCAAGTCCAATTTATATGTTACCTATTAGGGGCTGAAATCTTCAAGTCTTACCTTGAGTAGTACTTACTCAACATGTGTTACACAGAACAACAACAAACAAGTAAGCAAGCAAGCAAACAAGACAAAACCCTACCAAAACAAAACACTTCCTTGAACATGCAATTCTTCCCCTTGGGAGAGGATGAAAGAATGAACTGCCTGCAATAGATGCAAGTCCCATCGCTAAATATAATAGTGAAAGATGCTCAGGTTCAAGTGATGCAAGAGGTATAAGGGCCTACATAAAGCAGAATATTCACACTGAATAATCCTATTGAATTGAATGGAAGTATAACACTACTCAATGTGGTTGTAGAATTGGATCTTAGGTATAAAAGATGGCCTGTAACAAGTTGTCACGTTAATTATTCCAAAAGGGATAATTAAGATTTTAAAGGATTCTCTTATTTGAGGTGGATTATATGTTCAAGTTGGGTAGTTATTTACTATGTATTTTCAATACATAGGAATAGAAAGATGTGTAAAAAATTTTGAAAGTTAAGACCCCATTGTTACCCCCCAGTACTCTTTCCTGCCATGGCAGGGGGTCGGACTAGATGATCTGCCCAGGTCCCTTCCGACCCTAGAAACTATGAAACTATGAATTACTGCACATGTGCCATACACAGCTGGGGGGAGCAGAGCTGTGCTGTCCAGCATCTCCCTTCACCGTGTGCATTACATGATCAACTCTGTAGCACAGGCAACCCAGGCCCCTGAACACAGCTGGGAGGGATAGGCTGCTGCTTGCGCAGCATGCATGACTGGAGGAGTGGAGAGCCAGACTACCCAATGCCACCCACCCACTGGGTTTATTGTAGGCAGCCCAGCTCCCCACCTCTCTCACATGCCACCCCAGCAATGGCACCTGAGCTCTCCCGTGCTAAACGTGCAGCATCTACCCCTGCCTCTCCCAGCCTCACGCATCACCTGCCTTCAGTGCAGGCAAGCTCCCTTCTTTGCCATGCACACTTGGGCAGTCCAGCCCCCTCCCAGCTGCTGTAGCAAGAGCAAATGGGCAGGGGCCAGGTGGGAGCCTGCAAGCCACAGGCTAACCCTTCTGTGGCCACTGTGTTCTAAGTATCTACTCTTACCATTGCCCAAGTCAGGATGCTAGGCTAAATTGGTCAACCCAGTATGGTACTTATGTTCAATAAGTTTGATGATTAATACAGATAAGAAGTCATAAAGCCCTGTGTGAACACAAGATCCAGAGGTTGTTTAGCTGTGAGAGTTATCAGAAATCAGCTGGAATACTCGCTAGATAAAATGGCACTTAATGTTGGAACTCTTTATTTGGAAGTGAAGTAAACATAGCAGATTAAAGGATAAGAGAAGAATTTCTCAGGTGACCATACGATCCTAAATTAACCCCAAGAATTAACATATCATCGACATGGAACAGTCAGAATCAAAGATTTTGTCACCACCATGGAACTCAGACAGATCAAATGGGGATCATAGTGGTTGGTGATACAATGTGGCTTTCTGTACACTAGCATGGGTTCCATTATATTTACCTCCTGGGATTCACGTGCAATGAATATGATCAAGAGGATATCTAGTTTTGGAGGAAAATGAACCACTGACTTTAAAGGCCTGATACAAATATAATGGGCACACTGTAACAAACTGAATTTTACTAATATCATCATTTGTGCTCTAATAGAATCTTGGAACCCTAGTTATGAAGCAAGATCCTAAAGTGCAAGCTTTGTACAAAACAGCAGTCCCTTACCCAGAGAGTGTACAGTCTAAACATAAGACAAAGACTATAAATCAATGACAGACAGATGGAGGAATACAAAGAAACAGTGAAGCAATATTAGTATGATAGACGATAGTCACAGCTCAACAACAGCCTAACCATTGTCAACC